CTCTATCGACTCAGGAAAGACTTATTTCATTTAGATATAGGTCCCTAAGAGCCGCTGAGCTTCTGCAGCGTGAACAGAGGTATTTAAAAGGTGGTAACAAGTTTTTAGGTTTTCAATGGTGAATTTTCACTAAACACTGTCTAAATCATAAAAAATTCATATCTTGCAAAAGCTTTGGTTTATAAGCCTAAAAGTGTCACAGTGAGTAGACAACATCTATCTTCAACTGTGGTGTAAATTTCCGACTCCTAGCTGATCGTGGTCGTGAGCTATTAATTAATTATTATTAATGGCATTTTCATTAATTAACTCATATCTCCGTCAAAAAGGCGCATGGACCCAAACCAACTTGGGATTTTTCACTACTGACTATTCCCTACATGATGAAAATAGTCTGAGTCGAAAAGCTTTTAATCACCTCGAGAGGTTCCCTCGTCAGTCAAACTCGTATTGTTCAAAATTATTTTATTTATTAGACTTTAAAAATTTCTTGTCATATTAACACATCGATTAAGATATCATAACTGTTAATAATTGTAGAAGATCTCTTTCTAACTATAAAGTTAAAATGATAGTTCTATTTTAAATGCCTGGTATCGCTCGTTTCACATTCATTGTGAAACGACGAATGCCCAGGCTAGATAAAATTGTTGAAGAATTAAGCTCATCTATTCACGTGTTTAAGGTGATCCTGAGACTTCGAACAGATCATATTTTAGTTGTTAAAACAAGAAAACTATACTTATGACTTTTTCATGTATATAAATCTTACAATGTTTTATTTTTTTTTGTGATTTAGGCTTATTCTATTTTCTTGGCTCAATCGTCAATTTTAGTCAAGAGCCTGAAGTTCATTTTAAATATATCCAAGCAGCATGTAAAACCGGACAAATCAAAGAAGTCGAACGTATTTGTCGAGAAAGTAATTGTTATGATCCGGAACGTGTTAAAAATTTTCTTAAAGAAGCGAAATTAACTGATCAATTACCATTGATTATTGTTTGTGATCGTTTTAATTTTGTTCATGATCTTGTACTCTATTTATATCGAAATAATTTAATGAAAAATATTGAAATTTATGTACAACGGGTAAGAATAATTGATGCCTTTGTAACTCATAGTTTTCTATACGAATTATTATTTTTTTGTTTAGGTTAATTCTGGACGACTTCCCGTTGTTGTTGGTGGTCTTCTAGATGTTGATTGTAGTGAAGATAATATCAAACAATTAATATTGTCTGTTCGAGGAAATTTTAATGTGGATGAACTAGTTGAAGAAGTTGAAAAACGCAATAGGTATGTATTATTAAGAAAATTATTAAAAGTATTTTATTTTATTTGACTTTTTTCTAATTTTAAAGAATGAAATTGTTGCTACCATGGTTAGAAACACGAGTACATGATGGATCAACTGATCCGGGTGTTCACAATGCAGTTGCTAAAATATACATAGATTCAAATAGCAATCCGGAGAAATTTTTACGTGATAATCTACATTACGATAGTCGTGTAGTAGGAAAATATTGTGAAAAAAGAGATCCACATTTGGCATGTGTTGCATACGAACGTGGTGGTTGCGATATGGAATTAATTAATGTAAGTAAATACTAATCACTAGTAATATTAGTACAAAGAACTGTAATGTGTTTATACTTCAAATTGTATATTATGTGAATTGCTTTGGATCTCATGATTAAACTGTGTTTTTTCTGTATTTTCCTCAATGCCACAAGAAGAAACAACTATGTTTTATTCTTTCCATGTTGGGGAACAAAGTGAGAGAACAATAGGAAGCTGTAAAGATTTCTTTATATCTTTGACAGTGCCGATAAATTGTTCGACAAAATTAATTCAGTTGTGCTAGTATCATATCTATAAAAGAATCCTAAAGAGTTTCTCACAAATGCATAAGATGAACATTCTGCATTTTATATCATTGTATCGATTTTTTTTTTCTATTTTTGACTCTAGTATTTTTATCTTTTAATATTTGACTGTTCAAGCCTAGTTTTTTAATTGAGAATGCTTGGTATGATGATAAGTAACACTAAAACGTAAGAATGATTAAAAATTTGTGTATTCGTACTGTCTGACCAAGTATCTAAGATTCTTCAATGTGTCCACTACAAGTGATTTATATCCGGTTCAAGATATTTGGATAAAAATATTGCGATCTAAAATTACGTTTGATATTTGGTTCGTTTTCTTTATTTAATAAAAAAAGACTTGTATTTGTTCATTTATTTAGGTTTGCAATGAAAATTCATTATTCAAAAGTGAAGCACGCTATTTGGTTCGTCGTAAAGATCCTACTTTATGGGAACAAGTATTACGTGAAGATAATCAATATCGCCGTCCTCTAATTGATCAAGTTATTCAAACTGCATTAGCTGAAACTCAAGATCCCGAAGAAATTTCAGTTACCGTTAAAGCATTTATGACAGCCGATTTACCAAATAATTTAATTGAATTATTAGAAAAAATTGTTATTGATAATTCAGTATTTAGTGAACATCGTAATTTACAAAATTTACTTATATTAACAGCAATCAAAGCCGATCGTTCACGTGTCATGGATTATATAAATCGTTTGGATAATTATGATGCACCAGATATAGCAAATATTGCTATTAGTAATCAATTGTATGAAGAAGCATTTTCAATCTACAAAAAATTTGAAGTTAATACATCAGCTATTCAAGTTTTAATTGATAATATTAATAATTTGGATCGAGCATATGAATTTGCAGAACGATGTAATGAACCAGGTGTATGGAGTTTATTAGCGAATGCACAAATAAGAAATGGTCTTGTAAAAGAAGCTATTGATTCATTTATCAAAGCCGATGATCCAACATCATATTTAGAAGTTGTTAATGTTGCAAGTCAAAATGGTATGAGACTAATCATTTTCATGGTACTAACTGAGTAGAAAAACTGATTTTCTATTTATTTTTTATTATATAGATAATTGGGAAGATTTAGTTCGATATTTACAAATGGCACGCAAGAAAGCTCGAGAAACATTCGTCGAAACAGAATTAGCGTTTGCATATGCTAAAACAAATCGACTTGCTGAATTAGAAGAGTTTATATCTGGACCAAATCATGCTCAAATACAAAATGTAAGTACTGATTTCATTACTGTAACGCAAAGAAGCGTAGAGTAAATTTTTCTAAATAGAGTTGTTTACTTATTGCTAATCACTTTTTATAAGTGGTAAACATCTTATCCGTTCATATAAATATTTAAAACAATTTGATTTACCTTTCATTTTGCATTCAATCTTTACACTCTGCAGGAATAAAAATAAAAACTCGAGATCAGTGTTTAATATCATGTGTGAATGATGAAAAAAACATTTTTTAACTTACAGTATGTTGGTAATTATATAGTAGATGAAAAACTCATGCTGATGGAAAAGAGTTCGATTTTATCCAATAAAAATCAAGTTTATATTAGTATACTAATCAATTTTAGGTTGGTGATCGTTGTTTCGAAAATGGCATGTATGACGCAGCAAAATTATTGTTTAACAACATATCAAATTATGCTAAATTAGCTGTTACATTATGTTATTTGGGTGATTATCAAGGAGCGGTTGACAGTGCAAGAAAAGCCAATTCAACAAAAACATGGAAAGAAGTAAGTGTATTTGGTTGTTTGTTTTTTTTGTCAAATTATAATTTATTTATTCTTTTTCTTCAAAAAAAAAGATTTGCTTCGCTTGCATTGACAAACAAGAATTTCGTTTGGCACAAATGTGTGGTGTTCAAATAGTTGTTCAAGCTGAAGAATTAGAAGAACTTATCAATTATTATCAAAATCGTGGCTATTTTGAAGAATTAATCCAATTGTTAGAAGCAGCACTTGGTAAGTTAATTGTCTACGTTTTTTTTTTCATTTTATCGTACATAGTTGATTACATTTTGTAGGACATGAACGTGCACATATTGGAATGTTTACTGAATTAGCTATATTGTATTCAAAATATAAACCACAAAAAATGCGTGAACATCTCGAACTATTTTGGTCTCGTGTTAGAAAACCAAAGGTATGTATCTTTAATTGACGAAATAAAAAAATTGAGCCCGTTACAACTTTACTTTTATTATTTTAAGGTACTTCGTGCCTGTGAACAAGCACATTTATGGTCTGAATTGGTATTTTTATATGATAAATATGAAGAATTTGATAACGCTATTCAAACAATGATGTCTCATCCAACAGAAGCGTGGCGTGAAAATCATTTTAAAGATATTGTTGCTAAAGTAGCCAATATTGAATTATATTATAAAGCAATTGATTTCTATCTTGAATTTAAACCAATGTTATTAAACGATTTATTATTAGTTTTATCGGCTCGTTTGGATCATACACGGGCTGTCAATTATTTTATGAAAGGTTAGTTAGCTCTTTCATCTAAAGCATTCGCATTCAAATTCAAAACGACATGTTCGAATCTGCACTACGGTATCACCGGTATCATGTTTCATTTATACAGATATCGTTCGTTTGTTTAAGTGCAATAGTGATCAGTACTGTCCTATGCAACTTGGATTATAGTTGAAACAATTTCTGTAATCTTGGTTTGTGACAGGCACAAACATCTTTTTTTTTTTACATTCTTTTTCAGATTCTTTTTTATGGATTCACATCTTCAATATACTTCTTTTTCTTTTCAGTCAAACAATTACCATTAGTTAAACCTTATTTACGATCAGTACAAAACATCAATAATAAAGCAATTAATGAAGCATTAAATAATTTACTAATCGAAGAAGAAGATTATCAAGGTTTAAGAAATTCGATTGATGCCTATGATAATTTTGATAATATATCACTGGCACAACGTTTGGAAAAACATGAATTGATTGAATTTCGACGTGTGGGTGCATATTTATATAAAGGAAATAATCGTTGGAAACAAGCTGTTGAATTAACGAAAAAAGATCGCTTGTACAAAGTAAGGTGTAGGATTTATTCGATAAAAATTATTTTTTTATTATTTTTCAATTTTCTTTTAGGATTCAATGACATATGCTGCTGAATCTCGACAAGTTGAAATTGCCGAAGAATTAATAGCATGGTTTCTTGATGAAAAATTATTTGAATGTTTTGGAGCATGTTTATTTCAATGTTATGATTTATTACGTCCTGATGTTATCTTAGAATTAGCATGGCGTCACGATATTATGGATTTTGCCATGCCCTATATGATTCAAGTGATGAGAGAGTATATATCAAAGGTAAGTTAGTTATAAAAGCTTTATACAAATATTAATTCTACATCTTATTGTTTAGGTCGATAAACTTGAACAGTCAGATCAAGTTCGAACCGAAACAGAAACAGCAAACGATCAAAAACCTATTGTATTTGGTGGTATGTTTGTTTGAAACGATAATTAATCTATATATTTCTCCTCTTGTAATTAAAATTAGATAAAGTAATAAATACTTTATGCTTTATTCTGAGGAAATAATAATGTATAGTCGGAAGCTATTTAATATTTTTAATATTTTATTTAGCCCAAACTAGTTCGACAAATTTTTAGTTTGAATACTTTTCTATTAGAGTATAGCTTAGAAACGGAAACAGCAAATGATCAAAAATCTAACGTAGTTGGTGATAAGCTTGTTTAAGGGTCTCCCCTCCCTCAAATAGTGATTTTCGGTCAAAAAATCGGTTTTGAGATACATACTTGGAAAGATAGTCTGAAGTGTCTACTTTCAGAATCTGTATCGCTTTTAGTTACAAAAGTGGTTTTACGCGGATTTTGAGCAAGTTTTCTAGGAGCCTCGAAAAATCGGGTCTTCAAATAATAGTTTTTTCCTGGATACTTATGCAATTAAAATTTTTCTGAAAATGCAGATTTGTAGAGCAAACTTTTCTGATTAAAATAAGATCTTGAACAATTCTGTATGACCTTGCATCAAAAAGTTACAGACATTTTCCTACAAGTCCTAAAATTGAGTATTTTCTTAAAACAATAGTTAATCGATATATTTCTCCTCTTGTCAATAGAATTAGATAAAGTAATAAATACTTTATGCTTTATTCTGAGGAAATAATAATGTACAGTCGGAAGCTATTTAAGATTTTTTAATATTTTATTTAGCCCAAACTAGTTCGACAAAACTTTTAGTTTAAATACTTTTCTATTAGACGATAGCTTAGAACAAAATGACTCAAATGTTTTTTTTAATTTTTTACCTTTAGATACTCAACAACTGATGTTAACAGCTCCTGGAATGAATTTTGCTCCAGTTCAACAAGCCTATGGCGGATATCCCCAATTTGGTGGTGCAGCACATGGTTATCCCGCATATTAAAATCAAATTAAAAAGGGATATCATATCTTTAGGATTAAATATTCTTTATTTTAAATCAAACAATTGGATTTGAACTTAATGTAAAATCTAAGTTTTCTAATTAAAACATTTGCTTCATTTTTTTTCGTCGTCGACTGCGTGCATTTTTCTTGTATTTTTTCATTTCATTTTTATCTTTCCGAGTACAAAAATACCTAAGTAAATATCTAACACTGTAAACTTTTAATGCTTTGATACGTTTTGTTTTCTTAGTACAACTAGAGATGTGAAAATACAAACAAATTCTTCTGATCAAATAGTTGCACATTCGTAACATCTCTCTGAGAGCAAGTGTGAGTTCGTTTATATTAAAAAAATTTGCAACTGAAAATGGAACAATTTCATGTTTTTTCTTTTTTTTTGAGCATTATATTTATCATATTTTAAACAAATGTATATGTATTGTGTGTCCGTGCTGTGTGTGAGTGTTTGTATATGATATATTCGCATTCCTATACTCTCTTAAATTATTCGCTGTTTTTTTTTTTTTTTCTTCATTGTGTCAATTTCTTTTAGGCAAAGCACTATTCCTTTCGTTTTTTCGCTTCCACACATACAAACAACAATAATTTTTCTAACAAAATGACGTTCAATTTCGACTTTTTTCTTTTTATTGTTGTTTGTAACCCGTGATCGTTCGTCGTTTTCTTCCTTTCGAAAAAATTTCTTTGTAGAATATGTTTCTCTTCATGAACATCACAATCCCAGTTTGTTTATTTTTATTTTGATTATTAATCCTATCGTTGTTGTTGTTATTGGCATTTTTTTTTCGTTTATGAAAAGAATAGAAGAGGATGAGGGAAAATATCAAATTACTGTTTATACGAATTCGAGAAATAAAAAAAAAATAAAAATTCAAAATAAAATTACAATAAATTTTATGATATGGGACTATTACAAAGTTTATTAAAAATAAAGGATTTAAGTTATTTGTATTAGGATACTTTAATAATGCGTATGACACTATGAGAGAGTTACATCGTGTCTTTATTTTTCAATATAGGAAAATTTAATTTTTGTCTTCTCTTATTGACAACAACGTACAAAAACGAGTCTGATTCTTCAAAAAATTTCATGTAACAAACATATGCAATATTAGAATTGTGTACCACCCATATTCCTTTTCTTTATCTATTTATTTTTTACATGTTTATTCCAAATGATTGATGTTAGATAAATGTTTGTTTAGAGGGATTTATACACTTCTTCTACATGAGTATTTGGACCTATTTTCAAAGTATAAGTGATATCATCTGTTAGAAATTTATTTATATGTGGTTTTTTTCCTCGTTTAATTATTTTCATTGATCTGATTTTACCCTCAATAGACTAATTTTCATTATAATAAATAATAACTCTGAATTTTAATGTAGTTCTATTGAATGATCTCACTTTATCTATGTATCTCATAAATAAATTATATTTTGTGCAATTCTTACACTTATTTTTACATTATAGTTAGTTATCTTAACAACTAAAGTAAAGGATTAAACAAACACTAATTTAGTCTTAAAATCGAAACAGTCAACTCGCACTATTATCGTTTGTATTCTCGATAACATAGCTCTTATTCAACTTTTTAGTGTTTTTCTAGCTGATCAGGCAGAAAACAAATGAAAAGTATGGATTTTAGTCTAAAATGTTTTTGTTTGTGGACAAAATTAAAATGATATGATATTCACGTGTTTTTTGCATTGTATCAAGAGAATATGAAGCAATCTAAAGCTGATGTTTGAATGAAAATTATCTTTTCCTTGTCTTTGAGATTTTTGTTTATAGTTCTGAAGCCAACATTTGTATTTTAGCATAGCAGACAGAATTAATCATGATGACATGACCTTAAATACGAATGACACATACTTTTGTTCTTGTGAAATGTAACCAGTATGCGCTGCCCTCACTTCGTTGGTCGCCACATTCAAGCATGTCGATACACTGAAACGAATACTATTGTATGAGAATCATATATGAGTAACAGGAAAGGAACGTAATAGATTGCAAAAAAACCTATTATTTTGTTTTTAATACTCAAATATCTGATCTTTGATATTAGATGGTAGATATTTTCAATTTTGTATTTTAGACTTCATTTTTTGTACATATGCACGTGACATGGCATTCCAACAAGAATATTTCAGTATACCACCAATTACCAGAGCATATACAACAACGTGTGTTATCACAACAATAGCCGTTGTAAGTTAAAAAAAACTGTTCTCTCTTCATCTTATTTCTTCTACTAAGAAGACAATCTGTCGTTTAATTTGTTTTTTTCGAAAACTATCTGCTTAATTGACCTTGTATAATTTTTTGTCGATGTAATCAGATAAAAAGAAGGAAAAATTATTTGATATGTATATTATATATAGAGTGATAGATATATTCATGGTCGGTGCTAGTAGAAGAGAGAAAGTGAACATGGTCGATCAGTTCAATCTTGTAATTAGAAATCTTTTACTTTACACACGCGACAAAAAAAAAAAAAGGCGAAAAGAAATTTTATAGTCAACTAAGTAGGATAAGCTATTCTGCAACATTGAACACAATTAAAACAACTGTCAATAATGAGAAAAAATGTGATTTGATGATAGATTCATCGTCACTTTCCGTGATAATCAAGTTGTTTTTTACTAAAGTGATTCTTCACTATATATATATATATATATTGAACGTTCGTTTTTTTTTCCATGTGGCAGATGTTTCTGGTAGCACTAGTTGAAAATATTTCGTAAGGTTGCCTTGAGCTATCGTAAACTGATTAAAGAGGTAAACATTGAGAGAGGAAGAGAGAGAAAAAAACAAAAGAACACTTGAATAACAAATTTTGTTTTACTCATCCTTTTTAAACGAATACATACGTGTGCCAATCATTAATATAACCGCTTTTTGTTTTATGAGAAATAAAAGTACTAGAAAAGCCATTAGGATAAGTGAAAAATGATCGAAGTGTTAAACAGCTGAAGTCTTCAATCTATTTATGTACTCGCTCGAATTTACGAGTTTTTGACGAGATGTAACTGAAGACATCTTTTCTCAAACTAAAAACGGATTTTTCTTAAATTGTTTAAAGTTATAATATTTTCTTATCTTGTTAAATGTATGATGTTCTGTTTTACGTTGTTGATTGCAAGAGGACATTTGTAAAATACGCTAACATTCATTAACAGCTACTAACGTCTCAAACTGACATGAGCCAACAACTACTCGACTCTCGATGTAGGATTACGTTTATATTTATTAGATTATAAAGTTAGAAAAATGCTGACGTCTTTTTAAGACATTAGTCACTATGTTTCAACTGTTAGTAGGGGTTATTCAGTATCCATCTAGATATTATTCAATGTTAGTATAATCCACTCAACAAGTTCCATCTATTGGTTTTATCAGGTTTTTAATGGGGGATTGTTAATGTATGTTAGTGGGTGTTAGCGTATTTTATAAATATCCATCGCAAGACGAGTCTGAATCATTCAAATCGATCATGGAGAGAATTTGAACTAAATGTTTGATGATAGATATTAATAAAATGTGCTTGACACTTATTCTATATAAAATAATAATAATAATGATAATAACGGTTCGTTTTTCATATTAGCAGATGTGGAAGTGCAAATAAAAAGTAGTTATAGGTTTAAAACAGGAAATATAACGTGGGTGTTAAAGCATGTGAGAGTATGTCTTTTATTTTTTTCTATTTTTTAATTTTGTACATACACATGCCGTCGGTCAATATTACGACGCATATCTCGTAGTTCATAAAAAATCAGTAAAACGGAAAATGATCAAGGAAAATATAGCGGAAGTGATAAATCAAAACTAAATGGGGTGGTACAGATTAAATATCTGTACAAATGAAAGAATCAGTTGTATTCGATGTGTCGATAAGGTATATATTGTGGAAAAGAATAACAGTACACAATCAAATGGAAACTGTCTATCATGTGGCTAATTAGTCTTCCTACTGTGCAAAGTGGATAGTCGCCATAATTATATAAAAGTAAAAGTGTAATCTTTTCTTTTTCTATAACAGACGTTTCTTTCTTTTGACACAAAGATGAATTGTATAAATACGAAATATTCTGTATAGTTGTAGATTTAAGTATGATCTTCAAGATTTAGAATTGTGTAAATTAAACGTTGGTATTTTATATCTTAAAACCTTCGGCCTGCTTAGATTATTCATCTGACTCATTATACTTTTTTTTACGGTTTACTACGATACTAAATTTTCCCTCAAAATATTTTTTTTTTTATAAACTATTTCCCATGACCATTATAAAATTTCAGTTACTATCAATAGTTGTATTCTATTGGTTTCATTTGACTACAATGTTATGTTTGCGTCAATTTTAGCAATTAGAGTTTATAAATGCTTATCAGTTATATTTCAATCCAGAATTAGTATTCAAACGTTTTCAGGTATGTTTTATTACTTTTATAATTGTAACGGTTTATGGAAAATTTTTTTTGTTATTTTTTACTCTCTATTTTAGTTATGGAGATTGATAACAAATTTTTGTTATTTTGGACCTTTTGGATTTAATTTTTTTTTTAACATTTTATTTACATATCGTTATTGTCGTCATTTGGAAGAAGGAAGTTTTCGTGGACGAGCAGCTGATTTTTTATTCATGTTTCTATTTGGTGGTACATTAATGATTGTAAGATATAGAATTAATTCAATTGATTTTTATTTAAATTAAATTTTTCTTTTTCTAGCTAATGGCATTATTTGTAAATATTGTATTTTTGGGTAGTGCATTAACAATTATGCTCGTTTATGTTTGGAGTAGACGAAATCCATTCGTAAGGTAAAACTTATAAAATTAATTCAATTATTTATTGATTAAAATATTATTTTTTATTATTTAGAATGAATTTTTTTGGACTTTTAAATTTTAATGCTCCCTATCTTCCTTGGGTATTGTTTGCCTTTTCGCTCTTATTAGGCAATTCAGTGATTGTTGATCTTATGGGTAAAAAAAACTCCATTTTTTTCTCATATTTAAGATTATTTAATAATGTATCTATGTTTAGGCATTGCTGTTGGTCATGCATACTATTTTCTTGAAGATATATTTCCTCGAGAACAAGGTGGATTCAAATTACTCAAAACACCAAGATTTTTGTAAGTTTTAAAATAAGACTATTTTAATATAGAAGAATAAAATATAATTTTCATAATTGTAGACATTGGTTATTTGATGATAATACAAACCGTGATGAACCTGAAGCGATGCCAAATGCCGAGGTTCCATTTGGTGCCGGTGGTTTTGTTTGGCAATGATCAAATTAGAAACAATAAGATGATAATCATAGTCACGATATATAGTTAATTATTTATATTCACAAATAATGTCACATATATATTAGAGAATTATAAATGTTTGTATATCTGGGTATAGTTCCACTGATAATAGATTGCAATTTATGCTCGTTGGGTGTGATTGTTACGATAGGTGATATTTTTAACTGTTAAATTTGTTAATTCATTTTTATTTTTTCGTTTTTTTGTTATATTTATTGTGTATGATTTTGACGTTTTGCTCTTATTAAAAAATTATACCAGACTTTTTTTTAAATACAAAAAAATATATTACTAAGAAAAAAAGTTAAATTATTTCAATAAAGAACGAAAGAATTTCATACTTTATCATTAAAAAATATTTAATTTCGATCAAATATTGACATTTATTTTGGAAATCTCTAGAAATGAAAGTAATCATTGAGTTTAATGTAACTATTCTATAAAAAAAAAATTGATGAAAATATGAAGCGTAAGTTTATGTTTTTATATGTGAACATATGTTGAACAATTATTAGTTTTTTAACAATTTGCATATATTAAGATGTCTGTTTAAATCACAATATATTAATGTCTTCCTCATTTCTAATTTAGATTTCAATTAATATCCATTTTTGTTGATAAGTTTGCATGTGTGTGTGTGTGTGTGTGTGTGTGTGTGTGTGTGTGTGTATCATTGACCATCACCATCATTTCATTTATTCGCGTTTTTTTCTTTTTTTTTTTTATTATTCTTTTTAATTGAGTTATATTTGTACATAAACGTGTGTCTATTGTTTCTTTACTTTACACATATTCAATGGGAAAGACAAGCTTCTCTCTCTTCTCCATTTTCTTCACCATTGACATTTTGTCTGATAAGTTAACAAGTTAAACTCTTATCAGATCTATTTAAACATAAATTAGTTTCGAAAACGAGGCGGGAAATATTGATTATCTAGGGAATGCTTCAATCCGGTCATTATCCCATCAACGTTAAATTCACGTTTTTTTTTTTAAAACATATACTGACACACACACACACACACACACACTCATACTCAGAGAACGCGATAAAAACACATTTCATTCAGTTAAACATGTTCATCTTCTCAATTTAATTGCATATGCCTAGAACTATAAAGATGAAAAAATGATTTTAATTGTTTCTGAAAAACAAAATAGAAGTAGAAAAATTATACAATAATTATCACAACACGTGTTAGAATAATAATTTTTAATGTACAATGTTATAGATACATTACTATTCGAGATACATTTTATGGTAAATATTATCAATAGTCCAGAAAGCTTTAAAATAATTTTTAACAAAACATATATGTAAAAAGGCAATAAATAGATAATTATTATTAATTTATTATGAATGAGGATCGCATGTCCATTCTCTGAAAATTTAACACGAAAAAACAAAAATTAATTTTTTCGCGATGTGTCAATGCGATAAAATGAATGGTGTGAAAGAGAGAGAGAGAAAGAGAAAACGACAGCACATCATCCTTTTAATATTTATACAAGAAAATTAACTTTTCAAATTCATCCTGCTAATAAATGATGATACGATGTGATCAATTAAATTGTTAATTACTTATTGTCATCTGTCCCTGTTTATGTTTATTACATCAACGCTAAAAAGTAAACTCCTGTTTAATTATCATTTAATTAATTCTATATATACTTTACCCTTTTGACATGATCTTTCCTTCCTCTCCTCTACTTGTTTTATTTATTTCATATGTCACAATTGTCGGATAAATTTCGTCTAAAGACAAACAAACCACAGGAGTTGATGATAGTGAACAATTTGATCAATATTATTCAAAAAGAAAAAAAAAAAATTTAATATGGCTATTTCATCTTATATACGATTTCCCTCTCTATAATTAATTATTAAATATCATTGTACGTGATTTTTCTTTTTATTTTATAAAACTTTGTTTTTAATCATTGGTTCAAACCGGATATAACAATTAGAATATGTTTGTTGATGTCTCTTATTTTCTTATTGTTAAAAAATACTCCTGACATGTGAACTTCCTTTTTCTCTTTTCTTTATTTTTTTTTTCTTTTTTATGTTTCTTGAGACGATGAATAACACATACATTTATTTTTTAGTGAAAAAAATTTTTCTAACAAAATTTATGTATTATATATGATTAGTAAAGAGGTAGTTAAGTTTCAAATAGACGGAAGAGTTAAGACGTTATTAGTACATACACAAAAATAAAAAAAGTACAACTAAAGAAGATTTATTTTGTTTCAAGTGACATTCTAACGGTATGAAACCAGAATATGATCAAACAGAAAATGAAAAAGGAAATGAATAACTTATTTAAGTTAGTAAAAGATCTATGTTCAAGTATATATAAAAGAAGACGAACTACTACCTATCACGTAAATATAATCAGCCACTCTAACTTTTCACAACGATTTGCCCTTAAGCATATACAAAAGCGATTTCTACGAGATTTTATATGAATTTTTGACTCTTTTTTTGTTTATTTTATTTCTCTCAATTTGAATAATAATCACTGCATAAAATACTTTATTTTACTTTCTTAGACTATGTTCTTCTTTTTTTACTATTTTAAACAAATGAAATAAAATAAAATTTATGAACAGGTGTGTCGATGAAATTTGATAATAATAAGTAAACGAGTTCAGTTTTGATAATTTAGTTCGTTATCCAATTAGTATTTTGAGTAGGTGTTACTGGTTACTTCCACTCTATCTATAAAAATTATAAACTCATGTCGACAGTTAAATTTTGTTTTTCGACCGAAAACAAGTGCTCCTCCCTTTTTTTTTTTTTTGTTGCTTTGTTTTATATTAGTCTATTCATCTACATTGAACATAAAGTTTTTCTTGTTGCCAAAAGAAAAATAATAATAGAAATCTGTGCGGTAAATGAATACAAGCTATCCCTACGGTTCTAATTAAGAGCCATCTTGGTTGATAATATAATCATACATTCAATTATTTTGATAATAGTTTACAAATTCAAATTGTCATTTAATGAGTTTACTGCATGTAGTGTTCATAGTTTGTCTCAAACGAATAAAAAAGAGAAGAACGTACATCATGGTGTAGGCTTAAATAGACACAGTTTACATCTTATGTACACTTATCTTTAGAATAAAAAACTAAGATTTGTTGAGCAAAAGGTGGTATAATATTCAAAAAGATAGACTATTTTAACAAAATAAAAAGAAAAAAAAAATCTCTTTCAAAAGAAGAAAAAACACAGAATAATACATTTTCTTTTTTTCTCAATAGATTCTGATTTTTAAATGAGAATATTTTTATTTATTCAAATCAATTAATTATAATTAATATAATCTTTGTTCTTTGTCATTGAAAACGAGTGAACAAATATATTTCTTTCTTCTATCTATTGTTTTTACAATATTTGCCTCATATATGTTTTATGTGAAGAGTATTACTATTGTTTTAAAAGTGGCATTGTCATCATCGTTATATTCATGACACGATGTAAACTATTATCGTTAATTATAATCTTATAGTTATTGTATAGTCTAAGAATAAAACAGCTATGTTGTTATTATCTATTTTGAAGGTAATTTTCCATAAATATGTATATTATTCGAAAACAACAAACGGTAATATTGTTCTTATAAACGTATATAGAGATACGCTCTTGTGATCTAACCCGTCACGTACAAACGATATGTTTGAAAGATAAACAAAGATGATCATAAAGTGTCTCGTTTTGTTTCTTTTTCGAAGAAAATTTGATCTCTTAAATATATACACAATTCTGGCAAGTGTTGAATATGATGTGTGAAAATTATACTTATGATGTAGTATATACATAGCATAAATTTTCATGAAAAAATATATAGACTCTTCTAGTCTACTAAAATTACAGGTATCATTGAAAGACAACAAATATTTGACTGATGATGATTATCTAATCAAATTTTATTCTAAAAATATTTTAAAAAAAAGATAAATAAATAAACAAACAAACTAAAAGAAAAGAAAACAAAAAAAAATGAATTCAAACAAATCATATTATCCATTTTAAATAGATAAAATGGTGATAAGTGATGATTGAACTATTTTACGTAAACAAAGTAAAATCTTGTCAAATTACGAAGAGTTTCAAAGAGTTTTTTTTGTCAAATTGATCACATACAGATATATACACATACAGTGACGTTTATTACATTACTTAAGTTTTGTGACAAGAGTCTAACAAGCTGTTACACGATAAAGCTACAGCACACGACAGGTTGCAATGATGAGAACGGTAAGTAGTTATACAAACGTTATACACACCGAAAATATGATAAAGAAAGAGAAGAAAAACTATTTTAACCTGCCATCAGTTCTTCGTTTTCTTTTATTCTTACTTTTTTTTTTTTTTTTTTTGAAAAAGATATGCGTTCTTTTTTTTTATATAAAACAAATTGTTTCGTTTATCAATGACTGACTATACATATTTCTTTTCGTTTTCTGTGTATGGCAACAGAAGGAGAGAAAACTTATAGTTATTTGATTGTATTAAGAAAAAAAATTTTTTTCTTTTATTTACAAGTTTTATTTATACCTCTATTTTTAATTGATTGTGTCGTGTGCAGGTAAAAAACTGACTGTTTACTTTTTTTTTTGAATTCGATTAGTAGAATAGTTTAAAATCTCTGTTGAGACATCTTTTTTTATTCTTTTTTACTTTCAATTTTCGAAATTTTTCATAAATTTCCGATTACATTCCGCTTTAAAATCTATAGAATTAAACAAAAATTATTCTATGAAGGATGTTCTAACAAAACTCGCAAAGAAATATTTCAAATAATTTATAAATATATTTGTCAATTCTATTCGAATTATACAATTCATGATATAACATCTCGTATGTTTATTCTAACTTCTATCTATAAATTCAGCGTGTAATAAATAATAAAAAGAGGTAGATTTGAAGCTGTCATGTCTGTCTATTCAATGGATTCATTTTTATTTTG